GCATGCATGCATGCATGCATGCATGCATGCATGCATGTATGCATTCATGGATGTATGTATGTATGTATGTATGTGATTATGTATGTATGTAGGTAGGTAGGTAGGTAGGTAGGTAGGTAGGTCGGTAGGTAGGTAGGTAGGTAGGGAGGGAGGGAGGGAGGGAGGGAGGGAGGGATGGATGGATGTTTGTTTGCTTGTATGTATGTATGGATGGATGGATGGATGGATGGATGAATGAATGGATGGATGGATGGATGGATGTATGTGTATAAAAAAACATATATGTGTATGTATGCATGTGTGTGTCGTCTGCGGAAAGGGAGCAGAAGGAGGAGGAGGAGGAGGAGGAGGAGGAGAACGAGGAGGGAAAAGCAGGAGGAGGAGGAGGAGGAGACCTTCGAGTGGCAGGCAGAAGCGCGAGAGCGCCGGGCGCCTCCCTGCGTGGGCGCGCCGCGAGCCTCCCGCGCTCGTGCTCCTCCGGGCTCCTCCTCCTCCCTCCGCCCGGAAGGCCGCGTGCCCCCCCCCGCGCTCGCGACTCCGTGGGAGCCTCGCCGGTCCGGGCGCCCTGCGCCTCCCGCCGTCGCTCCTCGCAGCGGATCGGACGCGTCTGTCCCGTCGCGGTTCGAGCGCTGGGCGGCGAGCGGAGGGCGGGGGGGAAGCGGGGAGGGGGAGGCCTTCTCAGAAGGCGGCGGGGGACTTCTAAGAAGCCCTCGCGCCCTCTGAGGAACTTGCTGCGCCCTCGGGGGTGAGGCCCAGAAAACGTCTCAGAGGGCCGGGGGACTTCCGAGCCTTCTGAGAATGCCTTCTCCTGCGCACTTGCCCCCCTCGCTCGCCGCCGAAGCACTTCTTGCCGTGACTTATCCCACTCGTCGTGTACAGAATCCTTCCTTGCCAACGGGCACCAGGGTCTGACAACCTGCGTCTGTCACCCTAGTCACTATGGTCTACTGTTGCGGGGAGAAGAGAGGCAGGAGGAGGAGGAGGAAGCTTCGCTTCGGTCGAGCTGCAACGCACGGTGGCGAAATGCACGATGCCGCTGTCAAGAATGAGCAACATCGAAAGAACCGCAAACCATCATGGCTTTTTCGTATGAGCCGCGACGAGAGCACGAGCCCGCATGATCGGATGACCTGCTGGCACTCGAGCGCTCTCGATTCTCGCGTTGCGGAACACACCAACACTGCAGCGCGCATGCGCGGAAGAAACTCATGAGAGGGAAAGGTACGCAAATCATGAAAAATGATGCACGCAACAAAAGTAGAGCGGGGGGACGGAGCCGAACCGTGAGAGCGAGGCACGTTGAGACAACGACGCAATGAATCGGCAGCGTCGATGACGTGAGGAAGTAAGGCCAACATACGCATGATAAGTGAGCACTTACATAACGATTCCAGAAATCACGATACAAAAACGCGAACTAGATGTGTAGATGTATAGAGAGAGATTATACATGAGCAAGAGCAGTCGACACAGCTTGGAAGAATGGAGACAAGTAGGCACGCCAAGCGAACCAGCGAGCTGAAGATCAGTCCCCCAACCCGCCGACATGGTGTTACTGAAGCACGCGGAATTCATGATGTAACGCAAGAAAAACGACCACTTCGTGTTCCGAAAC